TATCACATATGCACTCAGCTTTGCGGAAATCACGGGCAGTTTGTCGAAACACCGATTCCAGATATCAAAGAGGCATCAGCTTTATCTAGACGTGTCAGCATTTGTCACATACACACTCAGCCTTGTGGAAATTACGGGCAATCTGTCGAAGATTTTTGGTGAAGTAAAAAGCCCGTGAAGTTTACTGTTCAATCATCCAACAGTTGCCGACAAGAGTGAAAGAATAGTACCGGTTATTATTTCCTATAAATGTCGACCTTTACCCTCCATAGCAAGGCAGACATACATAACCCTCCGTCATCTTTGAGAATGCATTCCTAACGAAGCCTCTCGAGTCACTCAGTGTTCTTTATTCCTTGGGGTACCTCTGCAAACAACTCATCCAAAGCAAAAGTATTTCATATCATGAATGTTGAAAGTAAGAGTATCTCATATCATGCTTTCTCCCTGTCCTTCTCCTTGTCGTTGTTTTCATCTGCATGATAATGAGAAAAAGAGCAATCAGCCAACACTTGGTATCAATCTTCTGATCTGGAACCCCTTCCTGATTGCTTACCTAGCCCTGCTCTCGAGTACTCATCTTCAACATTTTATGCTTCCTCTTCGTCTACCACATCTGCCTGGAGAACAGATAAGGGAAGTGAAAATGATACCTTGAAGCATGTGGAGACAATATACTAATTCATCCTCAGCTAGGGACAAAGAGAAAGAAATCAATAGGTGGGCACTTGCAAAGATTGAAGAAAGAAACAGACCATCACCTCTACCTTGTGTCTGCCTGCCATGCAGAAGAAACAAGCAGAGAAGAATGCAGACTGCACAATCAAATCAACCCAGCATAAGGAGTCTGATTTGAAACCAAAGAACTCTCGCTCAGAATTCCGAACCAGTTCGAGATCAAAGTTGTGGAAAGACAACAAGATCATCTATCTCCAAAACCAAATTTGCGTTCTTAAACTCTACTATGTCTGGTTTTTACTTTGCCATACTTGTCATGTTTATTTGTTGTTTGTTTGATTGTTTGCTTGTGTTTGTGTGAGTTTATGCTTGAAACATTGAGGACAATGTTCGATTTAAGTGTGAGGGGTAACCAAGTTGTTTTGCATGAAATTCGTGGGAGTTTATCACCCATTACTTCTAGTGTTGTTCTTGCTATTTTAAGTGTTTTTATGCTGTTTTGGAGTGTTTTAGTGTGTTTTGACATAAAAATTTGAAAAATTGTTTTGAAAAACCCAAAAAGAGTTGTTTTTGTGTGTTTATTTGTGTCTTAGGATATCTTCCAACACAATGATGAGGATTTGGTTTTTAATTACATGACTGTTAAAGAGAGTTATAAACATGGATGAAAATTTGATTTACTCTTTGGTGTATGCTTGGTTGTGGTTATAATTTATGAATTCACATGCAATCATAAAGGAAAAATCAGTTTTTGTAACATGATTGAAAGAAGGAACTCAAATGAACGCTACAACCTTGTGAGACTTGAGCTTAAACGTTTATTTGGAGAGTTAATAATATGTGCATCATTGTTTTCTAAAGTCGTTGCATGAACTCATTATTCTTTGCTTGGTTGCTACTTAGAAGGCATTTCATCATTTAGTTCCAAATGCTAGAACTCATGCCTATTACATTCAAAGCATGCTATTGATTTGCATAACACATATTCAAGATGAAGTTGTGTAGTGACCACCAAAGCCAAATTGCCGTGCCCCTATTTCATTATGTGTTTAAGTTTAACCCCGTTGAGCCTTGTTAAGTCTATGTTCTTTGTTAACCCACACTATCCTTACCTAGCCTAGTGTTAGAACCATCCATACCCTTGTTCTTGAAGTATAGTAAAGCATGACTTAAAATGAACTCCTTTTTTATCAATGTATTGCAGAAAGCAAGTGTGGGGGAAGTGATTCTTTTGTGTGTGTGTACCAAAGTCCTTAATAAGGCACGGGTAGAAAAGAAAAAAATAAATTGAAAAAAAAAGTATGAAAAAGAGCTCTAAAGTGTTGTTCGTTAAAGAAAGGGTTCAAAACATTGAATTCGGCCTTAAGTGTTGCATAAATCTTCCATTTGTAATTAAAAGTTGATTCTGCATTCTAAAGTGATTTCCAAGTGTCTATTTCATTGCTTTGCTTGCTATCGCTTTAAGAACGTTTGTTATCCCTATCATTTCTTTGTTAGCCATTACCCCCAAGCCCTGTTACAACCCTTGACTTCAATCTTGAGTGTTGTTGTTTCAATTTGTGGAGTTCGAAATTGGTATGAGCATATGGTGTCACTGGTTCTCACATCTAAGTAGTAGCATTCCATTCATGAGATCATATCTAAACATGCTTAATAACTCTAGAAAATTGCTTTCTTTGTTATAACATATGTAAGTCCTAATCTTTCGTGTTTACATCAATCTTCTCACATATACTAGTGTAGGGTGTGTAGTCAGAAAATATGTGTGAAAATAGAGAGTATCTTGTAAGGAATTGAACAAATTCTCTAAGGCATGTTACTACATTCAAAACATCGTTTTAATTGGTTAATTGTGAACTAGTAAGTGGTGACTGTGATTAAGTATGTGCTCAAGTGTAAGGATGACCAAAATCTGTGGGAATGATGATTTTTAACACATCATGTTTCATTAAAAATCCCTGAGGCAATTGTTGGAAGGTCTAGGTTGTGTTTTGTTTTGTTTTGTTTTGCTCGAGGACTAGCAAAAGCTAAGTGTGGGGGAATTTGATAGGAGCATATTTATGTGACTTAGTTAGTTTGTTTCTTGGCATTTATGTTGTTAGTTCGTAGTTATTTTAGTATTTTAAGCTATTTTCGTGTGTTTGTAGGTCCAAAGGGTTAATGTGGCAAAGAAGTGCATTTTGGAGCATTTTGGAGCATTTTTGGGCATGGAATGGATAGCATATACTTGGAGTAAAAGGAATGGACGAAATTTAAAGTTTGTGCATCATCCCCTCCTTATAAATAACCATTTTAGCACACTCATTTCACCCAACACATCCACTCATTACAACCACCCAACACATTCACCTAGCACTACATCCACTCATTTCACCCAACACATCCATTCACCTACCACTACATCCACTCATTTCACCCAACACATCCACTCATTTCAACCACCCAACACATTCACCTACCATTACATCCACTCATTACCACCACCCACTACATCCTCTCCCTAGCCTATAAATATATCCATGAGGGACAGTTTAGGGAGAATGGAGGAAGACACATTCTGCCGCAAGGCATAGTCTTTTCTTCTTAACCATTCTACACATTCCCACAACAAAAACGCAATTTCATGCACCTTCATTTCCCTTTTCTTGCCATGACCTCCATCCAACCTAAACACATTCAGCCATTCCCTTCTATATATCCATATGCATCCATCAAACCACACCTTGTGTCGCAACAAAGAGAAGAATGAGGACCCTTGGACGTGCTTGCCATTCAAGTTGGATTGTTGGAGCGTTTTTAGGTATTTTCATTTTTTTGTTTTCAATGTCTAAATTTGTTTATCTTTGCTTTGTGAGTATGAGGAACTAAACCCCCCCTTAGCTAGGGGGAATTCAAAGCCATGAACATACTTGCAATATGAATTGATTACCTTAAATTGTGATTTCATAAGTTGTGAATTCAATTTGTTTAACTACTTGATTGATAACTTATTCGTGTATGTTTATTAAGAGTGCACACTTAGTTTGCATGCATGAATATGATGCTAGAGTATAAGGGAGTTTCACCTAATAGTTACAAACTTATATTCACAAGTAGTGGAGGTCGCTTATAAACGATCGCGTTAAATGAATTCTTGGCAGGAGTTTCATGCTCATCATAGTAACGAATGCCTCGTCAATACTTATAGTTTTCATAATGCTTAATGATCTTTGATTGTATCTTTATTGTGTTGTTTATGAAAAGGACTTTTGAAGAATGCTTGAATTGTTGTATGCGCTTTCCCATTCAATTCAATAACTTAAGGAGAACTTGAAGGTTAATTTAAGCGAATTTAATTAACCTGGGATGTTAAGTTTCATGATTTATCGAAAGAACAACTGAAAATTGGTTTCTATGCAAGTGTGTCATGTGTGGAGAAGAACCCTTCTAGCTAGTCTTCCATCCATTCAATTTACTCAAATTCGTGCAGATTTCATTAGTTCTTTAATTTACTTGTTTTGTTTTCAAATTCATCAAAACCAAAACCCCCTTTACCTTGTTGAGTCATATTAGTTAGAAACTAATTTAGTTTGTGTTTTTAAGTCTTTCAAATCAAGTTGAAACCAAAATTCGTCCAAAAGTGTGTTTAGAGTCCAAATCTGCCCAGTTGGTGTTTTTAGGCAGATTTGAGTGTTTTTAGCTTGTTTTGAGTTCTTTGAGTTTGTTTTGAATTCTTTGAGTCTAGTTTAGTGTTTTTAACTTTGTTTATATGTTTTTAAGTCAGTTTAGAGGTTATTAGCAAGCCCTCCTAATCCCTAGTCCAGAACGATCCCTACTTACATTCTTTACTACAATTGATACAAGAGGGTTTAATTTGTGTGTTAAGTAAATTCGCATCATGAGAGACTAATTAACCTTAAAATTTTATTATTTTGATAGTAAAAGCTAACACATTATTTTGAGAAAAAAAAAGAAAGATAAAAATTGATAAAACATATAAAAATCCTCTTACTTAAAGATTAAAAACAAATAAAAATCTAATTAAATTTTAAATTTGTTATTAATGTGGATCGAATTCAAACCCTCTTACTTTAAAATGTTGTACGAAGAAAAAAAATTAGCATTTTGCATTATTCTAAAATTTATATCTTATGGTAGTAAGGTATTGTTATTAACATTCCAAAATTTTCATTTTACATTTCAAATTTTTTATATTTAAAAAGAAAAATACACTTATAAAAAATATAAAGTAAAATTTTTAAAATGCTAATAATATCTTTTTCAATTTCGTAACACTACGTCAAAAGCTCGAACAAACGAATTCAATGGCTTGAAGGTAAAGAATTCGTAGGCGAAGACACGTATGGAGGACACTGTCGGCCAAACAAACCAGTTCAATTTTAGGCAAGCAGCTTCTCCAACGTTGACCAAACCAACTACACTTCCCTGACTATCTCTCTCTCTCTCTCTCTCTCTCTCTCTCTAAAACCTCCATTCTTTCTCTCTCATCATCTCCCCTCCCTCTCCACTTCCCACAACCTTCATCTCCCAAACCAATCAATCATTCGACTCTTTCAATGGCGGGGGAGCCACCGTCGTCGGGTGCCCAAATGAGAGTGAACTCACGGCGGCACTACAACGTAGTCCACCCAGTAGACATTGAGACGCCGCCGCTAGCCTCCCCAGCTCCGGCTGTGTCTCCGCCCGTGTACAGAGAGATCAAGCATTTCAAGAAATGGGTTGTCTGGCTGATTCCTGTCTTTGTTGCTGCCAACGTCGTTATGTTCATCATCACCATGTATGTCAACAACTGCCCCAAGAACTCAGTCTCTTGCATTGCCACGTTCTTGGGGAGGTTCTCCTTCCAGCCTTTTAAGGAGAACCCGCTTCTTGGACCGTCCTCATCGACGTGAGTTCGTAATTTCTGTTGTCAAATTTGAAGGATTCTGATTGTTTTCGCTTCGATTTTACATTTCAAGCAAAATTGGCAAGCGATAGGATAATGTACACTAAATTCATCTAAACTACGGCCAGTGCGGAAATGTTTGAACCCGAAGACGCAGCGGGTTGAAGAGAAGGGCCCTGTCCACCACTTGCAAACCCTTTGTTTTAAAAATTTCGTACTTTACTTTTCATTGTTATGTATTGGGAACATGTGTTCGAGTTTAGAACTTTATTCGAAATCATTTGGTGGGTATTTGGAACTTTGGAATTAGATTTTCAATTGGTTTGTGAAGTACTAACTTTTAATCTCATTTGGGTCTGACCCTTTAGCTGTTTTTGTTATGAAATTGTTAATTGATTGCATATTGTTAATTTGATACATTTTGTTTGAGTTAGCCCCAATTTTGTGCTTTAAGAAAACCATTTGGTTCTAAGTTTTGCATACTTTCCGTTGTTCTGTTTCAATAAAAAGATGTTTTACAAGTTTGAGGATTGATCCGAAATCATTTGGTGGGTGTTTGTAATCAGAGTTTTTGATTAGTTATGTTTTAATCTCAATTGGGGCGGACCCTTTTTGCTCTAAAGGTTGTTAATTGATTGAGATTGTAAGTATAACATGGTATTGTGTTGGATTTTCGTTGGTTTAGGTTGCAGAAGATGGGGGCTTTGGATGTAAATAAGGTGGTTGACAGACACCAGGGGTGGCTTCTCATCACTTGCAATTGGTTACATGGGGGTGTTTTCCATTTATTGGCTAATATGTTGAGCCTTTTAGTCATCGGATATCGGTTAGAGCAAGAGTTCGGCTTTGGTATGTATTCGAAAATTAGTTTTTTAGTCTAATTCCGTGGTATATATCATCTGCAAATTCAAAGAACTTTGTGATCATAAGCAATTTCATCATTCAAGGGAATCGACTGATGATTCTTTGCACTGCAACTTAGTCAAGTTAGGCTTTTATTATCATCGAGTCAAGTCGATTTGGTGATGTAGGTTTTGCTTATTTTACTTCATCTCAGTAAACTTACTCATGTCGTTTGTGCTATTCTCATGTGTTTCTATTGCAGTCCGGATTGGGTTGCTATATGTCATCTCTGGACTTGGTGGGAGTTTGTTGTCTTCACTTTTCATCCAAACAAACATCTCTGTTGGTGCTTCTGGTGCACTTTTCGGGTTGCTGGGAGCCATGCTTTCTGAACTTATCACTAATTGGACAATTTATGCTAGTAAGGTAATTGTTGAACTACTTTAAAGGAGCTTCATACTTCAGAAAACAAAAATTTGGTGACATTCAGGAACCCGTATCTAATTCGTTATTCTTGTTCAGTTTGGAGCACTTTTCACCCTCCTGATCATCATAGCAATCAATTTGGCAGTGGGAACACTCCCACACGTTGACAACTTTGCTCATATTGGAGGATTCCTTTCGGGATTTTTTCTTGGGTTTGTGTTTCTTATCCGCCCCCAGTTTGGATGGGTTAACCAAAGATATACTTCTCCAGGTCCAGGATATGCCTCATCTCAAACAAAATCAAAGTTCAAGACCTATCAGTGCGTTTTGTGGGTCCTCTCTGTGATCGTTTTAATTGTTGGGTGAGCCAATTTGTTTCTGTGCTTGTGTGCTTCTGTGCACTTCATGTTTCCATATTTAGGTTGCCATAGTACTAGTAAAAGTATATCAAAAACAAGATTACTACTAACTAAAAATATAACGTGCGGACTTCTTTCTACCCAATTAACATTTTTAACAAGTTCTTTTTAGGCGATATACAGCTCCTTTAGGACTTTAGGTTTTGCTCACTTACCAGCTTCAGCCCGGAATTTTTTTTTGTACTTGTATTGAAAGCGAGTTTCTAAAGTTCTTGTACCAAGTAAAAAGAGAAACACACTTGCCTACATGTTGAAATCTAGCTTTTGGAGTTCAACGTAATCATGAAACAGAACTTTCTCTATTTCAAATACCAGATTAGTGTAGAGTTTCCCATTCCTGGCTGAAGCTTTTTTCTTGGTTTCTTCTACCTAGGAATAAGCTTCAAAGCATCGGAAACTAATAATAGAAACTTTTCCAATTTTGTTGCCTACATATAGACTGGCAGGGAACCTTTTCGAAACATGGTAGCAGCTTACTCCGGAGTAATAATTAGATTGGAGACATGGGTTCAGACCGAGACTGAGGAGAGCTCTATATCAGTATATTTCTTTGGCGTGATCTTTGTTTCTCTAGAAGTGAAACATGTATACTTGGAGAGGCTTTGCAACACTCAGCACCCTCATTTTTGTTCTTGCTTTTCTTCTTGGTTGTATGGTCTCCTTCTATTAGTTCATGTCAAAATTGGTGCACCCGGGGGATATCATATATAGTAAACTTAGGTAGTTTGGATTTACGCCTGGCTGGGAAAGTTTGTGTAATTTGAAAATTTAGTAGTCAATTACGCAGCATAAATTTACAATCTAAACAGATTTTTGCTGATATGACAGGTTTACAGTTGGCCTCGTTATGCTTCTTCGGGGAGTTGATGCCAATAAGCATTGTTCTTGGTGTCATTATTTATCTTGTGTCCCTACTTCAAGATGGAGCTGCAACTCGGAGCCTGCATACTGCACGGTACCTAACACTCTACACCTGCTCCTACCTGTGCATATAATTTAAGACGCGCAATCAGTTTTACAATCCAAACCATTTTTCTAAAACTGGATTAACTTCTTAAGTTATTAGTAGACGCATATTGTCCTAGTTCCCGTGCGTTAAATGGAATTGTTCATTAGAAAGAGTCGGTTTATATACTATGAAATAATGTTTTGAGGCAATGTACGTATGGCACTGGTGAGCAAAAACAGTCTGTCCAGTACTCACCGTGTGATAACTGCATCAATCTGACTCCTGTGCGCGATGATCTCATTGCAGACAAACCAGATGGGTGATCAAATCTATTTAACTTGCTCGAGCAACGGTAAGAACGGCACGTATACGGTTCCAAATGCAAGCAGTTCTCAGATCCAGGGGTTATGCTCTCAGCTTTGCAGTTGATTTTTGCAGTCAAGAGGTTCCATGAGTTGCTCAGATGTATACCTTCGTTATTATATGTATTCATATCATCGTGTAATCTCGACTCTTGATCTTTACTATCAGTAGAAATTTGATTTGTGTACACTTTTAAAAAAAGCCTTATGTTCGACTCTCATAAATGGTGAGTTCGATATCAAATTTTTACTTCCCATTGTGCGGCTTAATCCAACTATTGCCACCCATTGTATGACTTATTCCAACCCCCAACCTAATATCATTGCATAAAAAGAATTTATTTTCAAATTTTTATTTTCATTTTGCGTCCTTGTACACTTTTATTTCGCATTCTTCTCCATTCTTTGTTCTTCCCTTCTCCCAGACTTTTCCTTTAACTATAACGGAAAAACTCAAAACAAAATAGTTATCAAATCGATCAGATTTTTTTTTATGAGAGGTCGTTTGATAATTATTTCGTTTTTAATTTTCACCTTTTTATTGTAAAATTGAAAAAAATAGAAACTGTTATAAATAGGCAAAAATTAAAGAGATAGCTTTTGATAGGGACAGGAGAAAAACTGGTGCAAAATATCATATTATATAGTTTCGTAACTATAACACAAAATGATTGCAGGTAAAAAGAGAAATCACTCACAGAGTACTCTTTATATATAGCTACATTCGTGACAAACTAAAAAGTGAAATGATTGCCCTTTTTGAAAACATCACACAACAACAATTACACTACTATTGCCCCTTTGAAAACATCACATAATAACAATTACACTACTGTTCTCAAGTCTTTCTCACTTAAAAGAATGTGTGCATCTATCCTCACAATTTTACAACAGAAATAGTTATTAAATGGTTTTTTAGTATTAATGTAAATACATATTAACAAACCGAAAAACTGCAAAATAACGTTGCACTAACGCTATTGTTTGTAAAAAAAAATAAAAAACGAAATGATTATGAATCTATTCGTTTCATTTCAATACAAGAGTTGGGTGTGACAAAAACTCAAACAAAAGGGCGGGTGTAGGAACAAACATTTCGCAATCACGAAGTGATAGCCCATTTTATCAACAACAAGAAGAAGCAGAGCAACCCAAAAACTCGCTCGCATTTCACCAAACCTTTCATCGGCCATGGCGGTTCGAGCCACTGTGGGCAGCTGCTCAATCTTCCGCTCCGCCTCCTCTTCCGCTTCCTCCCCCACTCTCCTTCCCTTCCGCTGCTGCCCTTGCCATTTCCCTACTCTCCAGTTCCGCCGACTCTCCAAATTAGGCATTCGCTTCCCGATATTTCGGTCCGGTAAGCTAGCTCCCGGCCATGGCAGCGGCGTTCAAAGCACCTCCGTCCACAGCCTCGTCGATAGCGTCATGGAAGAGCTCGGCGCCCTGCGCAGACGGAGACTAGTTCCTGCTGCCGCCAAGTACCTTCTCTCTCTCCCTCACAAAATTATCACGTTTCTCCTAATTTTCTTCTAATTATCGTTAATTGTGAACTTAGAGAACTTGGACTTCGTTTGGCAAAGATAACTGGATTGGATTGGATATGTGAAAGGGCTAAATGTGGCGGGAGATGGATTACTCGAAGAAAACTAATTCATTGTAGGATTAGACGGGAGAACAATCCCATTCTAATCCCCTCGAAATGACCTTCGATAAACCTGTTCAGGTTATCCATTCCAATCCAGTCCAATCCTAGACACCAAACGAAGCCTAGAGTAAAGTAATTATGCAGTGTTTGGTTGAATAGAAAGAAAAGGCATATCTTTAATGCATATATGATATACTGTTGTGAAGGGTGGAGCTGACAAGTAGTGGCGGGATTGTAGAGGATAAGCTTGTGAGCCGGGCACTGCAGCAAGGGTTGCTGCTTGAATTCAAGAAGGATGCAGAGAGAGTGTTGCTGGCTGTTGCGCAGAAGCCCGATGGCAAGAAGAACTGGATGGTGTCCGATCAGGTTCTACTAGAAACACAAAACAACTAATGCGGCATATTAATAGGTTGCTAGGTGTTGGAAAACTCACTGTTCGTTGTTTTTAACTTTAATAAACGCAAAGATTATAGCTTGTTTTCTTTGCTGGTATTCTGAAGTTTGTGTTTTGATTGTTGTACTTATGTCAGAATGGTGTTACATCGTCGATTAAACCACAACAGATTACGTATATTGTTCCCGGTGTTGAGAATTTTGACCACACAGATATATCAGACTTTATTCAGAAAGCTCAAGCTAACTCGGTTGGTGATTTGGTTCCTGCCCAAAAGTAGTTGCGGATAAAAATGTTTTTGTTTTCCCTTCTTGTGGTTTGTGTTTTGGTGAAGGTATTCGTTGATTTGGTGCAGGATCCAGCACTGCTTGAATTTGCTTGGGTTGAGCTCCTTGAAAAGAATAAGCGGGTGACGGCAGAAGAATTAGCTGAGGTACTGTACATTCCAGTTAAGGTTTTTATGTACTACTGCTCCTTCCAGTGACACTATCTCATTCATACAGATGATATTTGGTAGTGTAGAGCCTCTTGAATGCTACTGTGCTCATCTGTTGCTTTCAGAAGATGAAGTATACTTCACTGTTCTGGAGACAAAAGGTTCTCGCTCTGTATATGGACCTCGACCTGCTGTACAGGTACATTAGACATTGGGTCAACATCTTGTCCAAGAAAATGGTTCATGTGGGTCCAGAGGCCAATTAGATATGTTGCCTTGGTTTGAACATGTCTATCTTTAGGGCTCCTCATGTTTAGATGTGTTTCAAGAAGGAGTGATTCTAGATAGATGTATGCTTGAAGGAGTCATTCTTGTCATATGCTATTTCATAAAAGGGGATCTGCTTCATTGTTCATGGAGAGAGATAGGATGGTGCCCTTGTATTGACCATTTCGCAACCAAGTATTGACCGTAGTGATTTTTAGAGTAAGGTGCTTTTCCCCTGTTTTTGGCCTGACAAGAAAAAAAGCCAGTTATTCTTGACACCTGTTAGAAGTAAATGCAAGATTATTGGGTTGAGTTATCTTTGATAACCTTCATCTTGATTACTTGTTTGCTTTTCCAATAATTTTAACATGAAAGTCCTTTTAGGTTGAGGAGCTCCTGCGTAGGAAGCTCGCAAAGGAGGCTGCTGAGAAAGAACTGCAGGAGTTTAAACAATTACTGAAATCTGCTAAGGCAATGCCTTTAAATGCTAAACCTCCCAAATCTTCTTGGTTGGCTGAAGAGAAAATCAGACACAAAATTGAGTCTCTTGAAGCTTATGCTATTGATGCTTGCACAAATGATGACCAAAGGAAAACAGCCGGAACAGTAAGTCTGACTTAAACGACGGTGTTTTAGTTTACTGTTGTAATAGGTACTTACTTCTAAGCTCTGAAAATGTATGGGTTGCCAAGAGAAAAGTTATCCTCATATGATATTTCAGGAGCTAAAGATCTTGAATGATGTTATGCCCTATTTCTCTTTAATGCTCTTTGTATGATAATACATGATGCTTTGTTCCTGATCTGTATCTTGTTGTATACACATTTTTGTCAGATCCTAAGAACAATGGGGATGGTAAAAACAGCCTCATCAGCTTTGAATCTCCTCATAGACATTGGGTATTTTCCTGTACACGTGAATCTTGACCTGTTGAAGTTGAACATCCGTACTGATCATTCAGATGGAGTTATATCAGCTGCAGAACATCTTCTGTCAGATTCATCTGATTTAGATGTGGTTAGCCTGTTTCTTTTATAAATGTAGTAAATTAGTAGTACTCATGGGGGAAGATATTATACAGTATTACATTTTTCATTTCACATACTTAATTCTACATGGAACCATTTTGTGTGCGTGTGTGAAAATAATTAGTTAAATAATTAGACTAATTCTGTAAATGTTCTTGCTATAGATTGAAAGGACAGATCTCACTCACTTGAAGGTCTATGCTATTGATGTGGATGAGGCTGATGAGGTATGTTTTTCACATGCCTAACAATGATATCATCCCTCTGCTGTCAAAAAAGTAAAATTTGCCGCATCAAAATTTGACCTCTCTTGTGAAATTTTTTATTGTAATATGTTAGCTTGATGATGCCCTGAGTGCAACGAGGCTACAAGATGGACGCATTAAAATATGGATTCATGTTGCAGATGCAACTAGGTTTGTCCAACCTGGGAGCATAGTAGACAGGTAGCTCTTGAACACTACAAGAAAAAATGGATAAATGTTTGTGTTGCACTCATTTCTTATTAATTTATGATGTATAGGGAGGCAATGAGAAGAGGAACTTCTGTATTCTTGCCCACTGCTACTTATCCTATGTTCCCGGAGAAACTTGCCATGGAGGGAATGAGTTTGCAACAAGGAGAGATTTGCAATGCGGTTACTGTATCTGTGGTGCTACACTCCGATGGAAGGTAAAACTTTGCTTTTTGCAATTGGCCCCCCTCTTTGAGATCTCATCCCAATTGATGCTGTATTTTAGTTTAATGGAGTTACACAGAGGGCTTGGGAACCATTACCACTTAAAGGTTGTTGATTGCCATGGAATTGGGATTGAAGGTGGTGGTTAGATATATTTTAAATTTGAGTGAATCCTTATTCTACAGAGTGAAATGAATAAATCATTCTTGTCGTCGATAAGATAATTCCAAAATCCATATTACGTCCCACCTGGATATGTGTATTATGACCTTAGCTTTATGCCACTACCATATTTATGTCTCTTAGCCAAAATGAATAGTAACCTGTAAGTTAAACTTATGTTTGGAAGTTCATAGGAGTTTAGGAAATCCAACTTAATCTAGGAGTCTTCTATTACCAACTACATATGTAGAATGTTCCCACCTTTGAGGCTTTTTACACCGCAAGGATTATATAATCATTCGGAACAAGTTGGGTCGATATTTCTTTAAAGCATTATAGCTTTCGCTAATTTGAAGCGTAGTTTTCTTTTTGCCAACTAAATTTTACTAATGAACTAACTCCACCTTCTTTGGGGTTCGACAGTATTGCAGAATATTCAGTGGACAACTCAATCATTAAACCAACATACATGTTGACATATGAGAGTGCATCTGAGCTTCTTCATTTGAACCTGCAAGAAGAGGCTGAACTGAAAATCCTGTCTGAGGCTGCAACTCTCCGGTCAATATGGCGTCGAGAACAGGTTGAACTTAAAGAACCAGAGCCAACTTAACTCCGAACCTTTGTAGTGTGATTCAAAGTTCCAATGTATATTTTT